TCCCATGGCCAAGAGGGCATGTACCTGATGTGCCCTTTGCATGTGAAAAGGAAGCACAGAGTACATCACATGATGTATGTTTGGACAAATCCTACAACCTGTGCATCTAGGCATTCTTCAGAGGTGATGTGTCAGGGTATACATCTTCCCTGTGGAAACTGAGTTCTTGGGAGGAAGGGACCAGGCAGGCTCTGTGTGGAGCCTAAAATATGGGTTCTCAGCACAGAGTTCTGTGCCAAGTAAAGGTCAGCCAGCTCAGAGATGGCCCCAAAGACCAGGCCTTCTGACCTGTGGGGAGCTGAGAAACAACCAGAGTGGGCCTGCTGGCATGTGATTAATGTGGACACGTTAACGAAGTAGCTGGAAGAATGCACAGAGAGAAGATGCAAAAAGGGGTGTGAGGGGAGAGCAGGTAAGAGGATTAAAGCTGCAAAAACATTCCTCTAATGGATTTCTCAAACACACCAGCCAACAGGCAGGGGCAGGTGTCCTGTCAAACCCTTTCCCGTGAAATCTGATCCCTCTTCCTGCAGTAGAGGCCTGCTACCCCCATTTGCAGTTGAAGGGCCTGTCCCTTCCTTCCAGTGGGGCACCCTGAGCAACCCAGGGACTCCGCCAGGAAACCGACTTTGCAGACAAAGGAGCCTGGGAACAGGCCGGCTTCCCTCGTGTGTGCGCCGGCAAGATCTCCTCTTTGCATCTGCCCCGTCCGATGCCTGATTAGGCTGTTATTGACCATGAGGCCCCACCCCTCCCGGCCCCCTTCCTGCCCAAAAGCACTAGGAAAAGGAGGTCCTCAACGTTCACATCATTCTTCACTTCATTATTCTGCCTTTGGTCCCTCAGTGAGACTGAAGTTTTACTCGAGCGGCCAACTTGGGAGTGTTTTTGTCTGGTGAAGCGACAGCTAAGGCTTCAGCTCAGGAGGCACAGGGAGGGAGACAGGGCCAAGGACCAAACTGCTGCTTATTTGTTTTGAAGCCAGGAAGGCTCGCCTGCCAGTCGGCCCTTGTGGGGAGCTGGACGCCCAGCTGGGGTGCCCTTGGCCCTGCCTGCACGGGCTGTTGTGCACATGTTGGCATCAGAACAGAGGGACTGTCCGGCTGCATGGCCGACCGGTGCCCAGCTTCATGCTCCCCTACTGCACAGCCTTCTGTCTCCAACTGGGCAGTTGTCAGAGGGTATGGCAGGAACCAAGAGGAGATGAAGGGGGGCACAGTGTTTTCTAGCATCAGGCTGGAGAGGTGGGTGCGTGGAGGGCTGAATAAGCCCTCAATTACGACAGGCAGGAGCCTGGGCCATTAAGATGGAGATGGCGTTCTGGTGCCCAACTCCTTTCAGTTACTCACATCTTTCTTGCAAAATGGTTTGCTGGGTTTAAGTGTATTCTTCGCTTGAGGCAAATTTCCTTGGAATGAGGTAAAGGAAAAGAGCTGGGAGAAAAAGCTGTTGGAGTTGTTTGGGATTTATTAGACCGTGGAAGAGAGTGCTTCACAGCACCTGAGGAATTTTCCAGATGCCTCTAAGCTCACAATCACTCACAGCTCGCTTTGTGGAGAGCCTCCTGACTTGGCAGGTACAGGGCACACTGGCCTGAAGGAAGATTAAGTCCTTTGCGTTTTTGTTTTTTGTTTTAAGTGAATTGCTTTCAAAAAGCAAAGTTACTGATATGTAACTAGAACGCATTGAGCTGAGGCTGTCTCTTTCCCAGAATCCAAATCTTCTTTCCTCCTCTTTTAGTTATCTTGGCTGAGAGGCTCAGCCAGGCCTGGGCTGAGTAAGTCTTGGGGCCTAGTGCAAAATGAAAATGTAGGCTCCCTTGTTCAAGCATTATGAAGAATTTTAAGATAGTGACAGCAGAACATTAAACCAAGTGTTGGCCTCTCCTAAATGCAGGGAAAAGTTGTACACCCATGAAGGTGGCCTTGGGCTCAGCCCTCCAAACTTCATGTATTTAGCAAGGATCTAGAGAACTTTTGCTGTATCCTCAGTACTGTGCAGTGGGGTTAGGGTGGGGAGCAAAAAATGAGTGGACTTCCCACCAGTCTGAGAGGGGACCCCAAAAAGCCCAGAATTTATTTATAAAAAATTGTGTATTCTTACATGTTTACACTGCAGTCACCTTCAAAGTACTCTCTGATGCAATACACCTATCAAGAGGCTTTTTCCACTACTCAAAACAGTTTTTGAACTCATCAATTCTGATGCCTTTTAGTGCTTCTGTCATTATTTGTTTCACATATTCCATATCAGCAAAGTGCTTCCCTTTGAGGACTTTCTTCATATGGGGAAACAACAAAAAAAGTCACTTGAAGTGAGATTGGGTTAATAGGGAGGATAAGGCACAGGGGTCAGGCTGGTTTTTGGCCAAAAACTGCTCAATGTAACACAGTGTGGATAGGTGCACTGTCATGGTGGAAGAACCAGTCACCTGTTTGCTACAGCTAGGCACGGCAGGTCGTGATGCAGCCTTCTCAGAACTTTCAGATAAAAACTTCTGTTGACCGCATGATCTGGAGGAACAAATTCCGAGTGCATTACAGGGGCCTATCCTCCACAAGATAATTCTGTTTTTTTGGTGGGGTCCCCTCTTGCATACTTTAATTGGGGTCAGGTACCACACCCAAAAAGTTAATTAATGGTGAAATAATTATTTAAAAGCCCAAGAGGCCCAACTCCCACTTCAAAGAAGGAATCCACGAGAAATCTCACGTTCAGCCTGGAAAGTTCGAAAGGGCGTAGAAGTGAACCAGCTGAGGTGGAAGGATCGCCAGAGCCCAGCAGGTCGAGGCTACAGTGGCCAGGAGCAGCCACTGCACTCCAGTCTGGGCAACAGAGTGAGACTCCAACTCAAAAAAAAAAAGAAGTGAACCAGGCAGTTTGGCACTGTTTTTGCCATGCCATTCCATGAATGACATGTATTTCTTAATCTGTGTTTATTACTCCCATTTCACCTGTCCCTATGACCTGGGAAGTAACTTCTCAAGAAACATTTTTTTTTAAAATAGCTTCCATTGGCCACACTTAGATAAGAAGTTCATAGAACATTTGTTGTGTTGGGCTGGCTTTGAGCTCACAATGTAAAACCAACTCACCTATAAATCTGAGTTCATAGGCAATGTAAATAGGCATCTTGTACCTAACTTGTGGGGCTCGGCTTCCAAGAGAGTCATTCATTCATTCAACATGTACTGAGTATCTACTTGGGCCGGGACAAGATCAGAGGACACACATATGAACAAGACTTTTGGTCCTTGTCTCTAAAAAGTTCATAGTCTAATATCGTAATCAAAGGGACCGTGATCTTTCATAGGAACAGTAGAGCTTCACTGCCCTGAGTTGGCTTGACTAAGAGCTTCTGGAAAGTTCTATTAAGTGAGAAACCTCCTGACCTCACTGAATACCTTGATCACCAGGCTCTCTGATGGTGACAGTAGTTTGTTTTTGGTAATTATCTCTTGTCTTCTGTGAGAAACCTGATTCCTGCCCTCTCTGGGTCTCTGGTAGAAACAGCATCACGGGCAGGTGGAGTCTTGCAGTGAATTTGTAGTGAACCCTGATGCTATCAGTTCTTAGGAGCTGAGCAGAATTTGGTGTGGTAGCATTCAGAGGTTGGCTCCAGGGCTTTCTAAGGACCTTTATGAAGGGAGTGTCTGGGCAAAATATTTTTGTCTCTCTTTTTTTTTTTTTTTTTTGAGTCGGAGTCTCACTCTGTCGCCCAGACTGGAGAGCAGTGGCCGCTCCCGAACACCGCAGCCTCGACCTGCTGGGCTCCGGCGATCCTTCCGCCTCAGCCTTCCGAATAGCTGGAATTACAGGCATGTGCTACCACACCCGGCTGATTTTTTGATTTATTGTAGAGATGAGGTCTCGCCAAGTTGCTCAGGCGGATCTCGAACCCACGGGCTCAGGCAATCCACTCATCTCAGCCTCCCAAGACGCGGGATTACAGGCTGAGCCACCGAGCCCGGCTTTTTTGTCTCTCTTATACCACATTAGTTTTATTTCTCCTCTTCAATCCAGCTACAATCCTGAAAACCAAATTTCCAATTTGGAATACAGTTTTCTTGTGCAAATGGCCCCTGTTTTTGCCCAGCAACATCAGTGATTTGACTCATTGAAAGAGAGATTTGGACTCTTGGATTGTTTGGGAAATATCCTGCTCTTGTTCCAGGTGGATCCCTACCCTCTCCCTGTTCAGGCCCCACAGAGCCAAGTCAGGAGAGATGGCCAGGAGGCTAGCAGGGACTGCAGCCTTGTGTCAGGACCTGCAGATCTCCCTCATCCCACTGCCGTTAAGCCACACTGCAATGCTGCCTGTTGTCCTGGGAGATCTGTCTCTGCCTTAGAAAACCCTTCCGGCATCCACAGGGTCCCACTCTCAGCTCTGAGGGTAACCCATGGTGTGGACGCAGCTCCTGAGTAGCAAGAATCAGCCTTCTGGTCAGAATCATGGCCGACCGTCGAGCGGAACCTCAAGCCTGTCTCTTTTCACTGGGGATGTCTGAGAAGAACCCAGGAGGGCTGTTCTTGAGTGAATTGGAAAAAAGACATCCGCTTTCTCTTTCATTGTTCCCTTCAGTCTCCACTAGCTGAGCCTCCTGCAACTCTGCCAGGACAAGTGTGCCTCTACTGTGACCCATTTCTAGGGCGAATGAATGAGGCCAACCGGCCCCCACATCTCAGTGTAACAGAAGAGGCTGGCCTGCGTCGGAGGCACCTCTTGATGGAATTCTCTCTACATTCCCCCTGTCCCCTCCTCCAGGTTATGTATACAGGTTGAACCCCTACCAGTGATGAGGGCCATATATTCCATCCTTATCAACTCCCACACAACAAGGGGCTGGAGGTGGGACTCAGAGTGGCACCGACATGCCTCCACGCGAGGTTTTGCAGCTGTTTAACATGATCGGTGACACCAAGGCACAAGCCCACTCGGAATGTCACACTGTTGCTCTCCTCCACCAAGGCCCAACAGGCGCCTTCCCTTCTCTCCACAGATCTCCAGGACTTCAAGTTAGACGTGCAGCACGTGATTGAAGTGGATGAGGGGAACACGGCGGTCATTGCCTGTCACCTGCCCGAGAGCCACCCCAAAGCCCAGGTCCGGTACAGCGTCAAACAGGAGTGGCTGGAGGCCTCTAGGGGTGAGTGTCAAGGACCCCAGAGGCCAAGGCCAGGCGAGGAAGGGAGCTGGCCTCCTCTGCCCGCTCCTTGTCCAACAAAGCTGGGTCAGCTGCTGCTGCCTCCCCAGCCCCCTAAGCACACCCACAGCCCTGTCTTCATGCTGACCAGCTGTGCTCCATCTTGACATTTAGCCCCATAAGTTCCTAAAGGGGGTGGCCTCTATTATGGAGGTCCTCTGCGCCATCATGAGGGATTTCTTCCTCCTTTGAGGCCCCAGAAGATGTTAGTGAGTGGCTGTCGTTTGATCAGGACTCTCACACATGGTTCTGGATGCTTCCTGTGGGCACCCCCTGCCACCAGCACACACAGGAAGGCTGCGTGACAGTCCCAGCTGTCCCAGAGCTTCAGAGTTCCCAGGCAGGACCCGGAGCTCTTCTTCAAACAGAGCAGCATTTTTAGTGGAACTTCATTTTTTTTCCTCTCCCTATTTGTCTGGTAGATGCAGTTATCTCAGCTGTCAGTGCTGCCTGTTCAGGCCACCATGGACAAGCATGGTAGCTAGTTGGCGGAGGCTGAGCTTTGGTCCACAGAGTGTCAGGGTGGAGTAGCCCCTCAAGTCGACGTCAGTTTCTTCTCACCACCAACTCTGCGTTTAAGGCCAAGTAGACCTTTCTTGACCTGGCTGCACAGCTCAAAATATATACCTTTAAAAATATTCTGAGCCGGGCTCGGTGGCTCAGCCTGTAATCCCACGCCTTTGAGAGGCTGAGGTGAGTGGATTGCCTGAGCCCGCGGGTTTGAGACCCGCCTGAGCAACTTGGCGAGACCTCATCTCGACAATAAAATCACAAAATCAGCCGGTTGTAGTAACGCATGCCTGTAATTCCGGCTACATGGAAGGCTGAGGCGGAAGGATTGCCAGAGCCCAGCAGGTCGAGGCTGCAGTGGCCGGGAGCAGCCACTGCACTCCAGTCTGGGTGACAGAGTGAGACTTCAACTAAAAAAAAAAAAAAAAAAACCTCTGTAGATTTTAAGATATTCTTATTAACTCTTTTGGAGTATGAAAGGAATATGTGCACATTATCCAATCTTAGAAAATACAAAAAACTATTTTTGTCTTATTTTATTTTATTGAGTCAAGGTCTCACTGTCACCCAAGTTAGAGCACAGTGGCATGATTATGGCTCACCACAACCTTGACCTTCTGGGCTAAGGAGGTCCTTCCACCTCAACTATCTGAGTAGCTGGGACTACAAGCTGGCTGATTTTTTTTTAAATTTTTTTGTAGAGAAGAGTCTCACTATGTTGCCCAGGCTGGTCTCAAACTCCCGGGTTCAAATGATCCTCCCACCTCAGCTTCCCAAAGTACTGGGATTATAGGCGTGAGCCAACATGCCTGACCAGAAAACTATTTTTCGAAAGGGAAGAAATCTCAATTCAACTACTCAGAGGTAACTGGAGACTGGGAGAAGAGAATTAATCCCTACTGTCCCCAGCAGAAGCTTGGCAGCGGCCCCTGAGGAGCCTGTAAGCGCCAAGGGCTGCTCCCTTCCCATCTGGTACTTGCCTAAGCAGCTCACCCCTGGGTGGCCCAGCAGCAGGCAAGCACCAGGCTTGGTGACACCATGAGTCCCGGTGGGGGGCCACCAGGACAAAGCCCAGAGCTGACAGCCAGTGCTTTGCCTGCCAGGAAGCCGAACACCGGGGTGTCCAGAAGCTATGAATCTGTCTCTTGTCTCAAGAACCTGAACACAGCCCTGGTTCCCACCCCCTGTATCCCTGCACGGAACAGACAGAGCCTAATAGGCCCATGATACAGGCACAAGGCTTTCAGTGACGTTCATGGAGAGGGTGATGTTTGGGAGTTAGAAGATTCCTTTCTAAATCGCAGAAATTCAATGAGGCAACTTAGAGAGCGATGGCTGTGGGGAGGTTAATCAGTCGTTTGGGAAGGGAGACTGACAGAAGGGGCCAAAGTCAGTTCCCTCCATCTTGGAGACTTGCCGAAGTGGTCATCTCATCATTTTGTGTGTGCAGCGTGGTCTCCTCGATCTTAACGATGGTTCTGAGGCAGCATGCATTATGCCTTTTTACAAATGAGGAGGTGGGATTCGAGAGGTTAATTAACTTGCCCAAGGTCACAGTTAGTTTGTACCTAGCAGATCCAGAGCTTGAGCTCAGATCTGGTTGACCCCAAATCCTGCTTTCTTCCCTAGCTTCTTTGAAAGAATAAAACACTCCATAATAGATCTGTGCACTAACAGCCAGTGTGTCAGCTGGTTGGTTAGTTGCTTTCTCTCCCTGGCACTTCCGTCCCACTTGGTGCAAGATTATATGGAGAGAACAGCATTTTAGTTTAGGCTTGTTGGGTCTCAGGTGTGTATCAGCTCCTGCCTCCTGCCTGGCCTGTCCCCTTGCCCCTTACCTTTGTGGGAGCTGCAAAGGTGGCATTCTGGACCCAAAGTCAGCCCACATTCCCATGATCCTGCCCTTTCCACAGATAACTACCTGATCATGCCATCGGGAAACCTCCAGATTGTGAATGCCAGCCAGGAGGACGAGGGCATGTACAAGTGCGCAGCCTACAACCCAGTGACCCAGGAAGTGAAAACCTCTGGCTCCAGTGACAGGCTGCGTGTGCGCCGTAAGGACCAGTCTACCTGCTGGGGGGCTCGGGTATCACTCACTGACAGAGGGGCTGGTCTAGCTGGGAAGGGAGGCGGACACCTGAGGTGCCACATCCAAACTCTAGTTCTGTGTTCTTGGGGTGGGAAGGGGCTTAGGCCAGTGGGACACCTGGGACCCAGCCAGGGGTTCTCTCCCCTTTGGCTAGCTCCAGGCCGACCTCACAGTCCTCAGGCCTGGCTCATCCCAGAGTGTGTGGCCAGTGGGACTCTACTCCCATGGGTCACCGGGGCCAAGGATGGGTCCAGTATTATCACAGCAGGTGGCTGCTCCTGCTGACCACAGCGTGGGGCTATCCCCTTCCTCCTACCTATTGGGAGGTTTCCTTCACTGTGTTGCTTTGCTATTGGGATCGGCCAGGATGTGTGTGCTAGGGCAGGATGGCGGGTCTCCGTCTTGAGCTTAGCAGTGGACACAGTGTCTGCCTAGAGCAGGCCCATGCAGGAGGCCTCCAGGCCGCCGTCCTGCCCTGCGTGAGCCGTCAGCCTGCACTGTCTGCACTGATGGTGTGCCTCCTACCTCCCTCTGGTGAGCATCCAGGAGGCCTGCATGCACCCCGTGAATATGGTAACGACAGTGACCTCTCCGGGTGCCCATCTCGATCCTGCCTGTTCAGTGGAGTGCAATCCTGTGTGGAGTTAGGTTTCAGAGTCGGCACCAGAGGTGGAGTCACCGTGAAGCTATGAAGCTAGACATCCTTGGTTCCTCACTCACATGGACAAAGGCTGCACTAGGGCTAGTCTTGTATCTGTAACTTTGTATTATTTGGGGGATCTCCACACTGCAGACATTTTCAGGTGTCAGAAAACCCTCATCTGCCCTTGGTTGGCATGTGGAACAAAGTCACACATGGTCCATAAGCTCCCTGAAGGTCACTGAGAAAGGCAGTGCATTGGAGAGTAACGTGCCTTTTCATAAGTGCTGTGCAGCCAGGCGTGGAGGTGTGTACCTGTAGTCTCAGCTACTTTGGAGGCCAAGGTGGGAGGATCTATTGAGCTCAGGAGTTCAAGACCAGCCTGGGCAACATAGTGAGACTTCTATCTCAAAAAACACGAAAATTAAAATTCTATGCAGTTTGTCCCCATGTTGAAGAAAGATCACAGCTTTCTCTGCTGTGTACCCAATGAACTACCTGGTTGGTTTGCATTTGAGGACTCTTTGCAATATGAGAAATACATCTTTATTTATTATTTATTTATTTATTTATTTTTTTGAGTTGGAGTCTCAGTCTTGTCGCCCAGGCTGGAGTGCAGTGGCCACTCCTGGCCACCGCAGCCTCGATCTGCTGGGCTTAGACGATTCTTCCACCCCAGCCTTCCAAGTAGTTGGAACTGCAGGCGCATGCCACCACGTCTGACTAGAAATGCATATCTTTAACAGTGGGTTCCATTCAGCTTAGCAAGATGCTGAGGCCTGAGGACCGCAGGATGGGGCTGGAGACATGGCAGAGCTTGTCTCCTGTCTCATCTTCAACCTCACCATACACAGTGCAAGCAGGAAAAATCACTGCGCCAGTTACATAGTTTCCCGCTCTACGACCTGGCCTTTCTCTCCTTGCCAGCACATGTCACGCACTCATGTTGTGCTGATGACCCTGCTCCTCATTATCTCATTTCTTACTCAGAACAGCTTTCTGCAGAGGAAGCCCTTTTTCTGATAAGGATGCCGAGTCCCAGGGGAGTTGAGTAACTTCATAACTACTTTATGAAGGTCGTAGGCCCCTGAAGGGTCGGCTGGCTGTTCAACCCCGAATCCATGCTCTCTGGGACTGCCTCCTGGAGCCAGGCCACCCAGGCAGAGCCTACGGGGGATGCTGCAAGATGTCCTGATCCATACACTGTCTGTCCTTCCTCCCCGTTCCCTCAGGCTCTACAGCTGAGGCTGCCCGTATCATCTACCCCCCGGAGGCCCAGACCATCATTGTCACCAAAGGCCAGAGCCTCATCCTGGAGTGCGTGGCCAGTGGGATCCCACCTCCACGGGTCACCTGGGCCAAGGATGGGTCCAGTGTGGCCGGCTACAACAAGACACGCTTCCTGCTGAGCAACCTCCTCATCGACACCACCAGCGAGGAGGACTCCGGCACCTACCGCTGCATGGCGGACAACGGGGTCGGAGAGCCCGGAGTCGCGGTTATCCTCTACAACGTCCAGGTGTTCGGTGAGTGTCTGCTGTGGACCTTCTCCTTGGCCTTCTCTCTGGTCTGCATGACCTGTCTAGAAGCATGTAACCCAAGCTCAGAGAAAATGATTGTCCATGAAAGGTCACAAGCCAAATGAGTGGACAGAGCCCCTCGGATCTCAAGGTGAGGGGATGGGCACATGGTCCTAGAGCCCTTTTTAGTCCCTTTCTTGCCATGATTCTGATGGTGGAGACCTCTAACAGACCTCTCCTCCTCTGTAGTTTGTAGAATCTATGGGTCCCTAGGGTTCCAAGGAACCCAGTTTGACAACCACTGCTGTGGCACAGCCAGACGGCAGGAGGGAGCCACTCCAACTGTGTCCTCTCCCAGCCTGTCTGGCCCTGGATGGGAAGACACAGCCCTTCTACCTTGCTCTGGTTTCCCGGCAGAACCCCCAGAGGTCACCATGGAGCTGTCTCAGCTGGTCATCCCGTGGGGTCAGAGTGCCAAGCTCACCTGTGAGGTGCGTGGGAACCCCCCGCCCTCTGTGCTGTGGCTGAGGAACGCCGTGCCCCTCACCTCCAGCCAGCGTCTCCGGCTGTCCCGCAAGGCCCTGCGCGTGGTCAGTGCAGGGCCCGAGGATGAGGGCGTCTACCAGTGCATGGCCGAGAACGAAGTTGGCAGCGCCCACGCTGTGGTCCAGCTGAGGACCGCCAGACCAGGTGAGCACAGCCCAAAGCTCTGAGATTCCAGCTGAACATTCACAGGATCCTTTTCTGAAATGAAATTCAATTTAGAACCCCAGCACCTGAAATTGATAAAGGTGGCATTTAGTTGTAAGTTTAAATTTTCACAACTCACTTAATAAATCATTAGTGCATATTTTCACTATTGAAATGTTTTCTCCCTAAGGCCATTGGGTAGTGGAAAATTAATGTTCATAAATGAATTTTTTTAATGTTATTTGATAAATGATAGCGTGTTATATATGCTAAGGATTAGGCACTTAAACTATTTTTGCTTATAAAAACGCTATGTGCACTTAGTAGAAGATATGGAAAATAGATGAATGTGGAACTGAAAGTATCCACGTTTTCCCTCCTCCAAAAACAGATATAAGAAATATACTGTTATTAGTTTGCAGAATCTAAGGGCCCCGAGGGTTCTCTGGAACCCAGTTTGGCAGTCACTACTCTAGTGCAAAGAAAAGCAAGTCGGTCCTTCTCAGCTTGCTTGTTCCAAGTGATACCTACACCGATTGAACAGTTGCTGTGTGCTCAGCACCCGGCGAGATAAGGCGGGGGATGCAGAGCACCATGACAGAGACCCAACCCTCAAGAACTTTCCTATGGAGGAGATGATACTCACCAAGGAGACAGTTTGAGAAAAATACAGCAATGACGATAATACAACGCTTGGTCAGCATCATTAGGCACCAATGTCTGTGTTCGGGGAGATCGGGCAGAGGAGAGACTAGTGCTGGTGAGGGCTGTGGAAGCTTCCTGAAAGAAGCACTACTTCTCCTGGCCCCTCAGATTCTCAGAGGGCGTGCCTGTTAGCTTCATGTCTCACATTTCCAGTATGAAAGGCCCACGGGGTGCTATAGTGTTGAGATCCCATAGTAAAGGGATGTGTCCCCATCCCCAGCCAGGACTTGAGAAGGAAGGCGCAGGAATCTGCACCTTGGAAGCAAATTGAGATAGTTCACTCGAGTCCCGTCTTGTGTGGACTTGGGAAAAGAGCAGGTTGCAGAGATGTTTGCCTGCCACCCTGAGCCCTGGGCCAGGCAGACGAGGTTGTCCTCCCTTGTGCAGGGCAGGGACACCAGCACTATCTTCCTATGGAACCTGGGTCTTTTCTCTGACTTCTGTTTTCTCACTGGGGATAACAACTCAACGGGTAAACCAAGGACTCACCTGCCTCTTCCTTCTTTCTCCTTTCTAGGCACGACCCCGAGGCCTTGGCAGGATGCTATGCCAGCCACTGCAATGTCTCCCACGCTACCCTCCAGACCCGGCAGCCCTGACCAGATGCCGAGGGGAAGACCAGGGCTCCCCAGGGCCCCGACGTCAGTGCAACCTGCATCCCCACAGTGCCCAGGAGAAAAGGGGCAGGGAGCTCTTGCCGAGGCTCCCATCATCCTCAGCTCTCCTCGCACCTCCAAGACGGACTCATACGAGCTGGTGTGGCGGCCTCGGCATGAGGGCGGCAGCCGAGCGCCTATCCTCTACTATGTGGTGAAACACCGCAAGGTATGGCCCTGGCGTCATCTGCCACCTTCACCTGCATAGCCTCCTCTCCATTAGGCTGAGCAGTGTCACTGCCTCCGGTTATCTCCTTCACCTCCCCTTAAGCTCCTGCAGGCTGGACCAGGAATCCCCCCCTTGAGGCCCTCGTCTCCTCACTGCCACCCAGGATGCTGGTTGTGAGATGGGCACGGGGGACCCTGAGAGGCCCAGGAAGGGCCACGTATGTCTCTCACGCCTAGGCTCTGTGCATTTGTTTCCCAGAAGCTCACAGCAGCTTTTAGTCCCAGAGGAGACGGTGAAGTCTCCCTGTTAACTGTCGCTCTCCTTCTCTCTTCCTCTGCCATTAGTCGATGTTGTGTTTTGCATTTTAACCAAAGTAAGCTTCGCTAGGTACATACCTGCAGAAACTCTGGCTCAGCAGTCTAGCTCAAAGACAGGAAAACAAATATTTGTGAACAAGTGTTTTCTCTGTGGGCCGTAAAATACCCCCTCAGTTCTCAGAATTCATCATAGCTCAGGTTTGACAAGCAGGCATTTGAGCTCAAAGCACATCGTGTTGTTCAGACCTCAGCTATTTCTCCTTGACAGAAGGAAGTCTGTCCAGGTGAATGTCTCGGGAGCTGTCAGGGCGGGAATCTGGGGCTCTGACAGGATGTGGGAACAGGGCCAAGCAGGCCCATCTCCTGGACACTGCCCCTGTGAGGCAGGACAGCAAGGCCTCCAGGCCACCACCCTCGCTCAAGGCTGTGCTCTAACCCACTGTTACCCTGCCGGGACGAGGATATGAAATTCCCTGTAAGAAAATGTCCTTGAGCACGTTCCTGTTCACCCCAAGTATATGCTGTTTTCTTTCTAAGGCCATTGAATAATAGAACATTAATGTCCCTAAATAGATTTTTTAAAAAAATTTGATAAGTAATAGCATGTTATACAGGCTGAGTTTTATTATGCATTTCATTATTTTTGCTTACAAAAATGCTATGTGCACTTGGTAGAAAATATGGAAAAATATATGAATGTGGAACTAAAAGTATTTATTTACTTTTTCCCTCTTCCAAAAACAAACAAGAAAACAACCCACCCTGCATGGCAGAGAGCATTGGCTGTGCAGAGGTTTCCCTGCCCGGGGCCCTGGCCCCAGCCCCAACCCCGACTCATTCTGCCTGTTCTTTCTCCTGACATACTCCCCTGGAAGACATGTCCACAGAGACCCTGGGCCACTGAGACACCTGAGGCAGAGCAGTCCATTCTGCTGCCTGTGCTGCCTCCCAGGGAGGGCTTGGAAGGAGCGGTGTCTCATTAACCGTCCGCCTGCTGGCTTCATCATAGGCAGCCAGCAAGGGGGGTGAACGAGTTTTTAACAAAAAGCAGTATTGTTCAGCACATGTTGCAGGGCAGGGCTGGTCCTAATCCTTACGTCCCCGTGTAACTGGACACCTCCATCTCAGAATTGTAGACAAAGATCAGGGCAGGCCAAATGCCCCCATGGCTCCCAGGAGACAAAACCCAACAGGATGGCAAGAATAATATTTTTCAGGCCAATAGGTGGCTACGAAACAGCTCCCACAAGAGGCTGGCTGGCAAAAGTTGTGCCGTGGTGATCGGAAATGCCAGGCTGAGGCCGCATTCACCCTCTCAGTGTGTGTGACAGTGACTAATTACCCTTCCATTTCTTATTTTCATTTTTGGGCCCAGTGGAATTGTGAGGCCAGCCCTGGGGGGCCAGGGGAGCAGGGGCTGCGGGAGCCGCAGGGGAAGTGAGGCCGGACAGGCCCCCGCTGGGTCTGGCTTCTCTCAGGCTCCGGCCTGGGGGCTGTTGGAGCTGCGAGGGGACATTGCCAAGGCAGAAGTGCTGGCTGGAAAGCAGTTCCTTTCTTATGGAACAAACAAGTCTTAAAGTTCATCACCCAAGGAAGAGTTTGAAATCAAAATTCAGCATTCGGGTTGTGTTTTCTCATTCCCCTTCTCTTGCTGGGGATTGGAAATCAGTCGGCTAATTTTTACTGCTTCACATGCGCGAAGCAAGTTTCATTTCTGGTGCATCTGCAGACCCTGGGCTACTGTGTTTGGGTTTCCTGCACCGCTGGGGATTCTCAGTTTGTAAAAACTTCTCCCCTTGGAACAAATCCTGGAAACCTGACAGTGAGCCCAGACCTTCCCAGTGCCTTGAATGGTAGGTTTTGTTCTACTCTGGAATCATCTGCTCAGGGAGACGAGCCTTTCCTACCAGCTGCTTCTTCCTTCAGCAAATTTCAGGTTCCAGCAGGCTGTCTGGGACTGACAGACTTGACAGTGAAGTCCTTAGTCCTGGAAGGTGGGGTGGATGAGACGAGCAGCCTCTCAGCATCCCTTGTTGGGGAGCTTGGAGTCCCCTTATTCTTTTTCTTGAGATTGAAACAGCTAGGAATTTGAAGCCACTAAAGAATAACCCATCAAAGTTACAATTTATTTGCAGTGTTTTAAGTTCTAAGCAAGGACTGAGGGCAGGAACAGGAAAAAAGAGGTGGGTGGAGGATGTCAGGAGGTTCCCAGGAAGGCTGGGCATTTGCTGGGAACCTCCGTGTGCCATGCTCGCTCCTGGGCACTTTATGCAAGTCCTCTCATTTAATCTTCAGAATAACCTGAGAGATTTTATTTGCTTCGTGGTAAAAATGAAAAGTTTGGGGATCAGAGAGTTAGGGAACTTGCCATGAGTTACTCAGGCATGATTTGAACCCAGGACTCTCAGACTCTTCTTCCTAAGAGAGTTTGCAATTGTGAGCACACTCCTTGGAATCAAGCCGGGCAGGCTTGAGCACATCACTCGTTTCTGGAAGCCTTTGTCTCCTCATTTGTGAAGTGGGAACAATATGAACACCAATCTCTTGGGCTGTTGGGAGGAAGCCCCTGTAAAGTGCAAATGCTGCTATTTCTACTGGTGCTCTTGCTTTTATTTTCTTTCTCGCCATCATCTCTTGTTAGAATATGCATTGAAGGAACTGTGTCTGATTTAAATATATCAAGGAGGAAGAAAGTAAAAACCTGAGGGTTTGGGAAATACAGGGGAGGAGATCTCTTCAGAAGTTCTCAGCCATATCAGCCAGGCCTCCTGACCTTCCCCACTGAAGTTTCTTTGATGGAATCATGAGGAGAGATCAGGGAGCCTAACTCAAATGTTCCAGTGCGGTTGGTGCCCCATAGCTGGGAGGACCGGTCTGAGATTTGTACCACCCCTATCCCCACCATCATCCTTTTCCCTCCTCCTGTCCTCTGGGGCTTAGTTCTGCTTTCTTTGCAAGCCACAGTCCACTTGAAGCTCTGATCCGAGATGCCTGTCCTTACATCAGCAACCTTCTCCAGCAGGTCACAAACTCCTCCGATGATTGGACCGTCTCTGGCATTCCGGCCAGCCAGCACCGCTTGACCCTCACCAGACTTGACCCCGGGAGCTTGTATGAGGTGGAGATGGCAGCTTACAACTGTGCGGGCGAGGGCCAGACAGCCATGGTCACCTTCCGGACTGGTGAGAGTCAAGCATAGCCCCTAGTTTGAGGTTTCCATGGGCCCAAGCAGGTTCTACCAGGCCCAGATGGGAATCCCTCCCCACCTTGCCCCAGCTCTTCCTCTTGACTTTTATCTTTCCTTCCAGCTCTGCCTCCCTGTAGTTTGTGTGCCTAGCTGAGATTCCACCTCTCATCAGGAGAGTCACCAACTGGTCCCTCTGGCATCCCTTTGTCCCCCTCCCTCACAGGGGCCAGTAGCAAACCAGGACAGAGTCAGGCAGGGCTGGGACTCAGAACTACACTTTCAGTGCCCTGGATTGTTTGTGTGTTTGTTCATTTTGAGTCAGAGTCTCACTCTGTGATCTGCGGGACTCAGGCGATCCTTCCACCTCAGCCTTCTAAGTAGCTGCAACTGAGGTGCATGCCACCATGCCCAGCTAATTTTTTGATTTACTGTAGAGACGAGGCCTTGCCAAGTTGCCCAGGCTGGTCTTGAACCCCTGGACTCAGGCAGTCTTCTCATCTCTGCCCCCCAAAGTGCTGGGATTACAGGCGTGAGCCACTGTGCCTGACTTATTATTATATTATATTATATTATATTATATTATATTATATTATATTATATTATATTATATTATATTATATTATTTATTTATTGAGTCAGAGTCTCACTCCATTGCCCAGGCTGGAGTGCAATGGCATGCTCACAGCCACCCCAGCATTGACCTGGGCTCAAGTGATCCTTCTGCTTCTGCCTTCCAAGTAGCTGGAACTATATGCACATGCTACCACATCCAGCTAATTTTTTTTTTAGAGACAGGGTTTTCCTTTGTTGCCCAGGCTAAGTGCAATGGTCCAATCATAGCTTATTGCAGCCTCAAACATCTGGGATCAAGCCATCCTTCCATATTAGCCTCCTAATTAATTGGAACTATAGAAGCATGGCACCACACTTTGGCTAATTTTTAAATTTTTTGTGGAGATGGGGGTCTCTCTTTGTGGCCCAGGGTTCCATATGCCTGACCTCAAGTTATCCTCCTGCCTCAGCCTCCCAAAGTGCCAGGACTGCAGGCATGCAGTACCACACCTGACTATTTTTTTTTTTTTTTTGAGTTGGAGTCTCACCCTGTCACCCAGACTGGAGGGCAGTGGCACGCTCTTGGCTACTTCAGCCTCGACCTGCTGGGCTCAGGTGATCCTTCTGCCTCAGCTTTCCAAGTAGCTGGAACTACAGGCACATGCCACCATACCCGGCTAATTTTTAAAAAATTTATTGTAGAACCGAGGTCCCGCCAAGTTGCCCAGGCTGGTCTCAAACTCCTAGGTCCAGGCACTCCTCTCACCTTGGCCTCTCAAAGTTCTGGGATTATAGGTGTGAGCCACTGCACCCAACCCTGACTAATTTTTAATTTATTTATTTTTTTTGCCAATGGGGTCTCACTATGTTTATCCAGGCTGGTCTCCAACTCCTGGGCTTAAGCCATCCTACTGCCATAGCCTCACAAGGTGCTGGAATTATAGTTGTGAGTCATAGTAACTGACCACCCTGGATTCTTAGGTGCATCACCTTATCGCACCCCCAGCAGAGCCTCGGGCAAATAGGACTCTTTGGAAAGGGACACCTAATGCATGCACCTTCCCTTGCTGATCTCAACCCATTTCCTCCCAGGGCGGCGCCCCAAACCCGAGATCATGGCCAGCAAGGAGCAGCAAATCCAGAGAGATGACCCTGGAGCCAGCCCCCAGAGCAGCAGCCAGCCAGACCATGGCCGCCTCTCCCGTAAGCCCCAGCGTGGCAGGGGCAGGGTGATGAGCAGTCAGGACCAGAATGGCCTCCAAAGGCCTGTTGCCTCAGTGGAATGGGGTCTTGGTTCTCCAAATCCAGGATCCTTATGACCTGTTATTGGCGTCTCCCCAGCTAACCACAGTGAAGAAATATACATGGGAACTTTTCTGATACCAGGCTGGAGGGTGGTGCTGGGATCGCTAACCCTGCAGGTCCAGGGAGCAGCAGAGAGAGAGTAATGGCCTTTGGCCCTCCACACTCTGGCTCTGCAGAAAGATAGTTTAAGGGGGCTTAGCTCAAGGGCTTCTCTGGAGAGAGGAGGGCCCAGGGAGCAAACCCCAGTGGGTAGAGGGATGTGGGGAGGAGTAGAGGCAGGCCCAGGCCAGTCGGAGTGAGCCGTCATCTCATCCTACTTCCACCCTGCCTATGGTCTTCCCCAGCCCCAGAAGCTCCAGACAGGCCCACGATCTCCATGGCCTCTGAGACCTCAGTGTACGTGACCTGGATTCCCAGGGGGAATGGCGGATTCCCGATCCAGTCCTTCCGTGTGGAGTACAAGAAGCTGAAGAAAGTGGGAGACTGGATTCTGGCCACCAGTGCCATCCCTCCCTCGCGGCTCTCCGTGGAGATCACAGGCCTAGAGAAAGGTGGGGGCTGGGCCACTCCCCTGCCCGGTTTCCCAGCTGCCCCCAACCCCCTGGAGGAGGAGGACGAGCGCCACCGGCCCTTCTCTCCGCTCAGGCCCCCACCCCCCAGCACGTTCATGTGGCTGCTGTGTGTGGTGTTTGTCTCAGTCCCCCTCTCTCCACAGTAGGACCCAGAGCCATCTCCCACGTGGCTCCTCTCTGACAAGGGGGTGGGAGTTCCTATGAGGCCTCTGAGGACTCGCTCTGGGGAAGGGCTGCCCAGAAGTTCCCTCTGGGCCTTGAGGGGGGACGGTGAGGAAACCAGAGGGCATTTCCAGCTCCTGAGTTCAGCGAGGGTCTCCTCTCCAGGCACTTCTTACAAGTTCCGAGTCCGGGCTCTGAACATGCTGGGGGAAAGCGAGCCCAGCGCGCCCTCCCGGCCCTACATGGTGTCGGGCTACAGCGGCCGCGTTTACGAGAGGCCTGTGGCCGGTCCCTACATCACCTTCACAGACGCGGTCAACGAGACCACCATCATGCTCAAGTGGATGGTAAGTAGGCCTCGTGTCGGACTGCAGTGGGACACGGGGGTGCTGCGGCTCCTGCGAGGCAGGAAGCAGCGCCTCGCCTTGCACTTTTCCCAAGATGCCTCACCGTGTCCCTGAGCATTGGGCTCCCCCACGATGCACCTGAAAGTCCTATCAGTGGAATTTTGGGGCTCTCAGTGGCTGGAGCTGCTGCTGTGGTCTCCTCTTGGTTTTGGTGCCCGGACCTGGTAGGCCACCAACCAGGTTCCCCTTTTCAGATTATGTCCCCTGTGTCTTCCTTCCCTCCTCCTGACACCATGGGGGGGGTCTCACCACAGTTGTTCAGAATGCCTTCTTAGTCAGAGATACTCACCCTCACGTTCCCCAGAGAGTTCAGGAGGGATTTAAGTCTTTGGAAAAAATGGCAGTTTGTTTCTCCTGTCCAAAAGCTTCAGGGTCTCTAGGCTAAAAGTAATGAGTAATCTCCACAACATGTTTCAGAGAACCTCAGAGATATCATCAGAAATATTTGTCAGGGACCCCAGTGAAATTTGAACCTGAGACTGCAGTAAGGTTTCCACATACCGGTGGTTCTGCTTCAGTGATGATCTCTCTACTCCATTATTGACTTGTTTTGTCTCCATTCCCTGTAGTATATCCCAGCAAGTAACAACAACACCCCAATCCATGGCTTTTACATCTATTATCGACCCACAGACAGTGACAATGATAGTGACTACAAGAAGGACATGGTGGAAGGTGAGAAACACTTCTGTGTGATATCATTTCTTCTGCTGGCAAGGGGGTCTGGTGTTGGTGAAGTCTGGTGGTGCGTAAAACCTAGGGCTGGTGTGACACGAAGCTCTAATGGTGTCACTGACTCTTTCGTGACACCCTTGGGGCTGTCAGTTTCACGAACGAACGTGCTTCCTTCCCAGGATGAGGGGACAACGGGAGCATGTGTGGGTGCCTGGAACATTTCCCCCTGCAGTCCCCTACACGTCACCCTGTGCCAGTCAGCGGCACCCCCATCACACGTGCACATGCATGCACACACACACTCACACACACATAACCTTGTCTGCGTCTGACTGCAAGATCAGGGCCAAGAAAACAACACCCACACCACCATGCAGGACTCTCACTATCTTTCCCAGGGGATAAGTACTGGCACTCCATCAGCCACCTGCAGCCAGAAACCTCCTACGATATTAAGATGCAGTGCTTCAACGAGGGAGGAGAGAGCGAGTTCAGCAACGTAATGATCTGTGAGACCAAAGGTGAGTCTTTCTGGCTTCCTCTCCCTTCTTGCTGTTTCCAGTAAATGAGGGTCACTATTGCCTGGGCCATGCTGGGTATCTCTCTTCCAGGAAGACCCCTTACTTTCCAAGTCCCCCCCCCATGACTGTCATTTTCCCCTCCTCTGTTCATTTGTCTGTGCCTCATATGAAATATGAGTGAGTTACCATCATGACAACTTCAGGGAACTGGGAAATCAACTCATCCATGAGCTCATGGGATAGGTCGTGTTCTTAAGTTGGGAACTTCCTATAAATACTGTATTTCTGCAATAACATTTGGTACTTACACTGGTTGATTTATTCAACTTAACTACAACCCCAGGAGATGGGAAAGGAATTGAGTGTCAGGAAACCATATACTTTGGCCAAAGTCAGGTGGCTCAGACGAATAGTGGAGCACAATTTGGCCCAGGTTTGTCCAGCTACAAACCCAGGCTATTTCTCTGCACTGAAACGTGTTAAACACATTTGCATAATAAGTTGTCAGTATTGGCACACCGGTTGGGGGCAGACACCATTCTCTCTGTCTTACAGACACTGGAAGTGAGGTGAAGCAGATGTGCTGCAAAATACAGAATCACAAAAGAATAGGAATGAACACAAGACTACACGTTTTCCTGTCATTGAGGCAACAATGTCCCGCTTCACCTTGCTTTCGGCCATTGGGTGCCTTCAGTGTGCGCTCCCTACCCTGTTCTATCACGTACAAGGGAGGGAGGGGCAGATGCGTGCACAGCCAGGAGTCCTGGATCAGCTGGGGAAGGAACAGAGGCTTCAGGGGGCCTTCACACTGGTCTTCGGAAGGACTGAGTCTTCCGGCCAGGATGAGGAGGGGGTGGCCTGGGAGACAGGCCAAGACTGGACAGAACTCCAAACGGTTGGCGTGTCCAGCACTGTGAGAGAGGGAGGGCTCGGGGAAGAGGCCAGAGACTAGGGGGCATTCGGTCACGCTGTGGGATGAGCCAGCACAATCAGGTAATGGCGCCACTGGAGGCTGCGAGGTCGAGGACAAACATCTGGTGGGAGTGACAGGGTTAAGAGCCAGCGCTGAGGTTTCTAGCCCGAAGTACCACATAGGCGATGATGCCACTTGTTGACATGGGAGGGTAAGAAGAGAAGTAGATTTTCATGAGAAAGCAACAAGGTGAAACCACTTAGAGACTTCCTGAGTCTCGCTTCTTCAGAGAAGTTGAAATGAAGGCCAGATCAGAAGCAGGGCTCCTGCCCCAGACAGGTGGGGTGTCCGGGTGGGGAGATTGACTTGGGGAGTCTCAGGATGTAGGTGGGCATGTGGGCCTTGGTGAGATTACGTGGAGAGAGCAAAGAGGAACAGAGCAAAGAGGAACCAGGAGGGTCTCCCAGTGCCTGAGGGCAGATAGCACAGAGCAGGGAAGGAGCAATGTAACCTCAGCAGAAGGCAGTGGGGAAGTTAGAGGCTGGCAGGGTCAGAAAGTCAAGGGAGGGGACAGAGTCAGGTGTCAGATGCCTGTGGAGCAGCAAGGCCCAGATGAAGGCTGATGGGCTTGACTCCACCTTTTTGTTTTTTGAGTCGGAGTCTCACAACTGCCCAAGCTGGAGTGCATTGGCAAGATCGTGGCTTACTGCAGCCTCAACCTCCTGGGCTCAGGCAGTCCTTCTGCCTCAGCCTTCCAAGTAGCTGGGACTACAGGTGTGTGCCCACCATGCCCAGCTAATTTTTATTTTATTTTATTTTTATTTTATTTCATTTTTATTTTTATTTTATTGTAGAGACGAGGTCTCGCCACATTGCCCAGGCTGGTCTCAAACTCTTGGGCTTAGGCAGTCCTCTCACCTCAGGCTCTCGAAGTGCTGACCTGAGCCACTGCGCCTGGCCTTGACAGTCCACCTTTAAATTGGTGTCTCGCAATTACTGTTTGTCCTTGGAGTCCAGAACATCTGTCTATATGCTCTGTGACCCAGGCTAATACCTAGTACTTCACATCTCTCAATCCACCCAGAAATAGCAAATACCTGTGAGTCAGTTTTTCTATTTCCAGTTCTTTTGCTTATTTCCTGCATTTTAGCTATTTTCTTCCAGACATTTTCCAGTTATTCTTTCAGAAAACACTACACTACTTCTGCCCAAACAACTCAGCCCGACACTAGTGCTTGGCCCACAAACATCTCAGGTTCTGTTTTGAGATACATATAAGGTTCAGGTCCCAGTAATACCAGTTTTTCACGATCGATGCCAATTTTATGCCAAATACGGACAACATTCAGATAAGGGATTCTGAGGCCCTGTCTTGCGAGTTTGATCCTATTTCCCACACCTGTGGAGTTGGAGCTTTTTTTCCTATTTGTTGTGAAAGCAATGTTAAAGAGAAATAGATGCTAAAGTGAGTCTTGTCCACAATTACAGCTCGGAAGTCTGGTCAACCTGGACGACTGCCGCCCCCAACTTTGCCCCCTCCACAGCCGCCACCTCCTGAAACCATAGAGCGGCCCGTGGGTCCTGGGGCCATGGTGGCACGCTCCAGCGACCTGCCCTATCTGATTGTCGGGGTCGTCCTGGGCTCGATCGTCCTCATCATCGTCACCTTCATCCCCTTCTGTCTGTGGAGGGCCTGGTCCAAACAGAGTGAGTGAGGGACCTTCTTGGAACCAAGGGGAAGGAGCCTGGAGGGAAATGGGGGCCTGCCAGCCCGCCAAGGAGGGTCAGAGGTGCCTGCCAGCCCACCTAGGGCAGGGTCAGAGGTGCCTGACTCCATGTCCTCTAGGCCCCCAGGGTCTCGGAAATCAGGGAACACCCCAAGACTGGACCCCTCCCTCCCAGCTCATAGCCCTGAGGGGCATAGGAAGAGACAGAAGTCAGGCTTCCTCTCATTATCTCTGGAGTCTGTACTTACCTGGTTCCCTCTCCAAAGCTGCTCCTCTGACCGCACGTTCATACTTAAAATTGGCCCTGCCTCTTCTCTGAGTCTGGGGCTGCCTTCCATCTCATCCTGGACTACCCTGACTGGAGTTGCTAATCTCTGCTTCAGCGGGCACTATGTGGCCAACTTGCCTCATGTGACTGTTGCTGTCTTTTCACTCACTACCTCCTTCCCCTAGACCCTCACTCCTGTATCTCCCCGCCCTTCTCCTCACTGCAGAAGTCTGGCTGCTAGAAGAGATGGGCAGCCGGGAGGACGTTCTAAGAGAACGTCTCCTTCCCGTGGGCAATGCCGATTCCCTGCCCATCCTTTGACCCTACACGGTCAGGTGTCTCCTGAGATCCGAGTGGAATTTTCCAAGCTGCCCCAGGCTACCTGAGCACACCTCTGTCCTTCTGTCCTTCCAGAACACACAACAGACCTGGCTTTTCCTCGAAGCGCCCTTCCGCTGTCCTCCTGCCCATATACTATGGTGCCGTTGGGAGGACTCCCAGGCCACCGGGCCAATGGACAGGCGTACCTCAGCAGCATCAGTGGACAAGCCTGCACCGACGGGATACATGTGAATAGGGGCTGCCCTGTGGCTGCCATGGGCTACCCAGGCATGAAGCCCCCACAGCACTGCCCAGGGGAACCTCAGCAGGTAGTGCATTCCTGGGCGTGTGGGCGGATGGTTGGACGCCAGGAGAGAGTGCTCGGGCTGCCTCTTGGGGACTTCCTCCCTCCGGGCCTCTCATCCTGAAATGCTGGGCCAGGCTTTCTTTAGTGGGGAACAGATTGTCCTGTGGATCAGTGGACACCGGAAAGTTACCTGAACTCCCGGACATGATCTTCTTGTTCCTCTTCCTTTTGAGCAGCAGAATGACACCAGCAGCCTGCTGAGGCAGACCCTCCTTGGCAACGGATACGACCCCCCGAGTCACCAGCTCACCAGGTAGCCAGCCCCCTCCCATGCCTGCCATTCACTCCCGCCTCACTTTCTCTCTGGCGACACTCGGGAAGCCCCGAGGGGTGACCGTTCTGTCCTGCTGGGCTGCTGCCCTCGAGCGAGTGAGGCTGTTTTGTTTGCAGTTAGGATGCCATTTGTGCTTGGGGGCATGGGCTGGCTTCGCAGGATCCTTCCCTCGTCAGGCAGGCCAGAAACACCCACGTCCAACTGACTTTGCCCGCAGGCTACCTGACTTCACATCTTCCCACGTGGAGTAAAATGAAAACGGACTAGAATGACCAGTGGAAGTGATGGTGTGGGGCCTCTGAGGTTCTCAAGCTTCAGATGGCGTGGCAGCCAGCAAAGGGGTGGGGACACGCTGGCCCACGCTGCCCGTCTCACCTCTTCGCATGGTCTTGTGCAATGCAGGGCTCCCAAGTCTAGCCCAGACGAGGGCTCCTTCTTGTACACACTGCCTGATGACTCAACTCACCAGCTGCTCCAGCCCCACCAGGACAGCCACCACCTCCAGGAGCAGCCTACTGCCATGAGCCGGTCGGGAGTGAGGAGTGCCCCTGACAGTCCCAGGATGGAAGCAACGTGGGACTCTCCCTTTCACTCAGGTCGGTACCAGGGGCAGGGCAGAGAAATTGAACAGGCTGGGGATGACATGACATAGGCTTCCGTGGCTCTGCAGTGCCTTGGGAGACGGGGAGATATCAGTCTCCAAAGGTTTGGTAAGGAGGCCCCCACGAGGGTGGCCAGCCACTCTCCTTTGCTGCTGCAGGCCCGGTTGGTCTGTAGGGTGAGCCAGGTGGGCCCTACCCCAGCATTGCAAGCTGTGGTCCTCCAAGGCTGGGAGGAAGGATGCTTCTCCCTCTTAGAGAAAGCAGCCCATCATCACACTAAGAGATGTTCTCTCATCACTCCAAAATGCCTTGTTCTGCTGGGGCTTGCCTCTTAATTAAGGAACAAGGTTGCATCAGTCATTAGAGGGCCACGTTCTTACAAACATCATTGTCGTAACTCTCTGTGCTTCCACAGAACTTTTTCTCCAGGGGGCTCAGGGCCATCCACGCCACCCCCACCCCATGTCTCCCTCTATGCCAGTCTCCTTGGAAATCAGTGGAGCCTTGGTGAAGGCACAGGCTGGTTCAGAGGATTGGCTAATGTTTCTTAGCCTCTCCAAAAAACATTGGAAACTCTATAATGCGTGTGGTATTCATATGCAGATCCTGGACCCTGACTCCAGGAGATTAATTTCTAAAAGACAGTCACCTCCTAGAGCTGGATCCAGCATCATTAAAACAGGAAACACCTCGGCCAGGCACAGTGGCTCATATCTGTAATCCCAGGACTTTGGGAGGCCAAGGCCAGGAGGATTGTTTGAGCCCAGGAGTTCCAGACCAGCCTGGACAACATAGTGCGACCTCCTCTCAACAAAAGAAAAAAAAAGTTGCGTGTGGTGGCATGTGCCTGTAATCCCAGCTACTTGGAAGGCCGAGGCAGAAGATCACCTAAGCCCAGGAAGTCAAGGCTGCGATGAGCCATGATCATGCCACTGTACTTCAGCCTGGGTGACAGAATGAGACCCTGACTCAAAAAAGATAAACAAAAAAAAAAGGATCAATAAAAAACTGGATGTCAGTCTGGGGGCAGTGAGTTGTATATGGGATGTTATAACCAGAAGTCGTACCAAAGGCTGGTCTAGAAGCCTGAATCTGGAAAAGAACAAGGTTCCTTCTGCATGTCATGGGCTCTGATGACTTCATCTGCTGCTGGCATGCAGGCCAGGTGTTTGAGTCTCTACGGTCCCAGACCTTGGAAGGAGCATAAGTGTCCTTGTCGTGGTTGTAGATCTGTGTCCCTCTCAGGGCCAGTGTAACCAGCTCCTGCCACAGAGAAAGCCTGGCCCAGTAAGCTGAGGGTGGGTTCCTCGGTCCCTCTGGATTTTAATGTTTCCCCTTTCTCTCCACAGGGTCCCCATGCTGCCTGGGCCTCGTACCAGTTGAAGAGGTGGACAGTCCTGACTCCTGCCAAGTGGGTGGAGGAGACTGGTATCCCCAGCACCCCACGGGGACCTATGCAGGGCAGGAACCTGGGATGCAGCTCTCGCCTGGCCCGCCCGTGCATGTGTCTTTTGAAACACCACCTCCCACAATTTAGGCAGAAGCCAAGATCCCAGAAAGACTATATATTTTTTTTCTAAGAGACAGAGAAAATTGGTATTTATTTTTCTATTATAGCCATATTTATATATTTATGCACTTGTAAATAAATGTATATGTGTTTTTATAATGCTGGAGAGACCTAAGGGATCCTACCCGTTGAAGTCAGAGAGGGCAAACAAAGATGACACAACACAGCAGGAGCAAACCAGGAAGAGCGGCACAGACTGGTCGGATTGTGGACCCGCCTCTGGAACTCCGCAGCGCCTGGGAGGCTGCAGGACACCACAGATCTGCTGGCGAGGGGAGGAATCCCAGGCGCCTGTTCACAATGGCCACGGGGGACAGGCAAGGGCCATGGTACCAGCCTGGAGACACCCACAAGGACGGCTGGATCTGCTGCTACAGGAAACGTTTTCCTGAGATGCCCATGGGAAGGACTGGGATGTGTACAGCACTATAAGCATTAACAAACCTTCCAGAATCAGTAATCTGTGGCAACATATCTCTGTAAAAACAAACACTGTAACTTCTAAATAAATGTTTAGTCTTCCCTGTAACCTTCAGCTTAGTCATGTGTGAGTCAGCGTTTTCTTTCAACGTTAGAATTCAGTCTTTCGAGGATTGAGGAAATACTTTTTCTTTTCTTCTTGGGGGGGCGCTTTTTAAACACTGCATGCCAGTTGTGTTCTGATGAACATAGAATGCATTAGTAACTGTTTAGTCCAAGGGGGAGACATTGTCCAACAGGCTAGGAGAAGCAGATTTGCGGTTCTTTTACCGACTGGACTTTGGTTACACAGAAGGAATGAAACGAATCCTTTTTATATAGGTCTGTGTGTGATGAAGACCAAATATTTTCTCCAAAATGCCACTCAGTTAAGTGCAGTGCTACATGTGAACATAGGGGGTGTGATATATTCACTTCCCTTCTTTCCAAAGCTACACCAGCACTGCTGGAATAGTTGACTCACCAGTCTAAAAATCAACATTTACTTGGTTTTGTCCAACCAGGGGATCAACCACAGATTCCTAAAAAAATTGAAAATTTTAAATCTTTATATGTGAATTGGCATTAGATGGAGACTGAAGCATGCAGTGAAAGCCTGAACACACTGAGTTTTGTTGGGAGGGCTCAAAGGAGGCCATATTTTCTAGGTTTCAGTATAGTTGAGGTTACAGATGACATGCCACTTGAGACATTCTTGTCTGGCTTCTTAATCAGAAGAATTGATCCTGGGGAAGCCCCAGGGAATTGAGTCAGACACTTGACTGGGACTAGTGCACCCTCTGCTGGCCACAAGACGTACAGCATGTGCTGCTCAGACCGCATCCTTTTCCCGTCAACCAGCTTACCGTGAAAAAGCAACATGATTTTCAGAAAAGCAGTATTAAAAAATATCATTAAAGTGGAGGACAGCAAAGGACATGTAAATGATATAAAGTGAAAGGTAGAGCAGGGAACAGAAGAAAAGAAATGAGAAATTGTCATTTCAGACACAACCTGTACCTAGAGGTCCCTTCTCGGAGGGTGCAGGGCTAATGTGTTCAGTCTTTGCTTTGCGGCCTGGGGCCCTTCAGATCTGAACTGAAACTCACCCTCCAGCCCACTGGCTTTTTAAAATCCCGCCCCCCTTATCCTCCCTGATGATCTAAGGTGGTTGTCCAAGTGAATTTTGGTGAACTTTATTGAAGTGACATATAAAATATCTGTTTTCTGCACAGCACTGGAATCATAACAATCCTGACTGGTATTAGCTCTCAAAAAATATGTCCTGAGGAAGGAAAGAAGGAAAAGGTTAGGGCATCAGGTTTTTAAGTTTTTGTCCAGAAATAAGGCAATGAGACATCTCAGATATTCAATTTCACTGCATTTTATATTTATTTAGGATCAGGTTAATTTTATTTATTTATTTTATTTTATTTTTTTTGAGTTGTAGTCTCACTCTGTTGCCCAGGCTAGAGTGCAGTGGCTCATGGCCACCCAAAGTCGACCTGCTGGGCTCAGGCAATCCTTCTGCCTCAGCCTTCCAAGTAGTGGGAACTACAGGCCCATGCTACCACGCCTGGCTAATTATTAAATTTATTGAGAGATGAGGTTTTGCCAAGTTGCCCAGGCTGTTCTCGAACCCGTGGGCTCAGGCAATCCCCTCACCTCGACCTCCCAAAG